TCTTACTGTTTCTCTCTTCTCTAGTGTTTTGTTCCCTTAATTTCTGGTTGCTTGAGCAGTTCTCTTTTTGTTTGTTTGTTTGTTTATTTTGTTTTTTTGAGATGGAGTCTTGCTCTGTCTCCCAGGCTGGAGTGCAGTGGCGCGATGTCAGCTCACTGCAACCTGTGCCTCCCAGGTTCAAGCAATTTTCCCACCTCAGCCTCCCGAGTAGCTGGGATTACAGACACCCACCATCATGCCTGACTAATTTTTGTCTTTTAGTAGAGGTGGGGTTTCACCATGTTGGCCAGGCTGGTCTTGAACTCCTTACCTCAGTGATCCACCTGCCTCAGCCTCCACCCGCCTCAGCCTCCCAAAGTACTGGGATTATACGCATGAGCCACTGAACCTCGCTGCCCGAGCAGTTCTGTAAGTCAGTCAGGAAATAACCCTTCATGAACAGGTATGCAGAAGATCTAGAGAGGTATTAGTTTATTTATTTTTATTTTAAAGTTTTTTTGAGAGAGAAGGTCTTGCTCTGTTGTCCTGGCTGGAGTATACTGAAGCTCACTACAGCCTTGAACTCTTGGCCTAAAGTGATCCTCCTGACTCAGCCTTCCAAGTAGCTGGGACTACAGGCATGTGCCACCATGCCCAGCTAATTAAAAGAATTTTTTTTCCTTCCTAAATGGAAGGGACCTTATCAAATTGATTTATTTATTTTTGTAGTGATGGCATCTCACTATGTTGCTCAGGCTGGTATTGAACTCTTGGGCTCAAGTTATCCTACCACCTTGGCTTCCCAAAGCACTGGAATTATAGGTGCCAGACTATGACCCTGTCTCAAAGGAAAAAAAAAAGAAAAAACACATTCAAATGGACTTTCTCTGGAAAACAGGAATGAAATTCAGGAAGCTTAAGCATTCTTGAGCAGGATAAACATAAGCAACCACACCTGGCTGAGAGTATCAGTTTAGATTGGAGCAGGAGAAAGGAGAGTTTCAAGAAAGAGATTTCCAGAAAAAGGGATTCCAGCCAGGAAGGAATGTTAATATTAGTATGCAATCTGGCTTAAGGAAGAATATTTATATAGTAAAAATAATGCAAATGTTGTTTGTTGGTTTGCAAAGACAAAGTATTGGCTATCTTGAAAAACAATTATGATTATAGAACAGAATATATATGTTATCAACTCTATCAGTGCAAAATTCATTTCCACAGTTGGGGAAAGTAAGGAAAAGGTATAAAGGGAAAGTAAGGGGGCCAGGCATGTGGCTCATGCCTGTCATCCCAGCATGTTGGGAGGCTGAGGCAGGATTGCTTGAGCCCAGGAGTTTGAGAGCAACCTGCGTAACAGAGTGAGACTCCATCTTTACAAAAAATTAAAAAAATTAGCTGGGTGTGGTGGCACATGCCTGTAGTCTCAGCTACTTTGGAAGCTAAGTTGGGAGGATTGCTTGAGCCTGGGAGTTCAGGGCTATAGTGAGCTGTGATCACACCACTGCACTCTATCTAGCATGGGCAACAGAATGAGACTCTGTTTCCAAAATCAGAGAAAATAAGGGAGAGGTAGTGATTCATTTTGCATAGTTGGGAATCAAGATAATCTTTTGTTAATAATACAAGAAACAAAAGCATAACTAAATTATTTATATTACAAAAGCAATCTTTAGTAAAACTAAAAGGGGTATGTAAGTATTGAGAGGAGGGGAAAAGGAATGATATGGTATAATGAGGTAATTCTTTATCAATTATTGTAGGAAGCAGAGAATATCTAAAATTCATACAAGGAAAATGGCAATATTATCTTTTTATTTTATATTATTTTAATTTTTTAAGACAAGGTCTAGCTCTCTCACACATGCTGGAGTACAGTTATATGGTCACAGCTCACTGTGGTCTTGACCTCCTGTGCTCAAGTGATCCTCCCACGTCAGCCTCCCGAGTAGGTGGGACTACAGGCATGCCACCACACCCAGCTAATTTTTGTATTTTTTTGTAAATGCAGGGTTTCACCATGTTGCCCAGGCTGGTCTCAAAATCCTGGGCTCAAGCAATCTGCCTGCTTTGGCCTCTCAAACTGCTGGGATTATAGGCACCCAGCCAATATTACATTATTTGAAGATAAGGGCTTAATTCTAAAAAATTAAAAATATAAACATTTATAAAAGTTCAAATTAGGCCAGGCCTGGTGGCTTGTGCCTATCTATAATCCTAGCACTTTGGGTGGCCAGGGTGGGGCAGATTGCTTGAAGTCAGGAGTTCAAGACCAGCCTGGCCAACATGGTGAAACCTTGTCAACACCAAAAAAACAAAAATTAACCAGGTTTGGTGGCATGTGCAGTAGTCCCAGCTACTTGGAAGGCTGAGATAGGAGCATCACTTGAGTCTGGGACATGAGGTTGCATGTGAGCCGAGATCATGCCACTGCACTCCAGTGTGGGTACTAGAGTAAGACCTGTCTCAAAAAAAAAAAAGAAATAGAAAAAAGAATTGACTTTCTCTGGAAAACAGGAATGGGAATTCAAGAAGCTTAAACATTCTTGAGCAGGATAAATATAAGCAACAAAACAACCACTAAGGTACTATGCAAAAAATGACAACAATAGCTCTAAATACAGGAAGGGGGAAATGGAAGTATACTCAATTAATTATAAAGAAATCAGGAAAAGAGGATATAATTTATGTTAACACAATTACCTCTATGACTAGGTTTAACTGTTATTTTGCTGTTTGTTTTTTGTTTGTCTCATCTTTTTGTCCCTTTATTTGTCATTTTATATTTTCATTATCTGAATTAGAACAACCAAATGTTTTTAAATATACCATTATTCTGCAGTCTACCTTCAAATGATATCATACCTCTTTCTATAGAACATAAAATTCTTAAAATAGTATATTTTCATTTCATGCATTGATCTTTGAGTTATTGTTAACTACATTTTACTTCTATATGTGTTTTGAGTCCACAGTTCATTATTATCATTTTTGCTTTGAACAATCAACTATCTTTTTTAAAAGAATCAGTTCTCTTTTACAATAAATTTAAAAATAATAAAAATATTTTATATATTCCTATATATTTACCAGTTTATTGCTTCTTAATCTTTTGTGAAGATTCAGATTTTGAACAGATTTTATATTATTTTTGTTTGAGGAACTTACTTGAACAGTTTTTATAGTGCAGGTCTGCTGACAAATTTTCTAAGATGTTGCTTTGTTGATAGACATGTTTGCTGGGTATAAAATTCTTGATTTATATTTTTTTCCTTTAGCACTTTACAGATATCTTTCCATTGTCTCTTTCCTTACATAATTTGGATGAGAAGTCTGTAGTCATTCTTTGTGTTTTAAGTGTTATTTTCTTCCCTCTGTTTGCTTTTGTATTTAAGGTTTATTTTTCTTTATTAGTGTTTGTTAGCAACTCCAAGAAAGCTTTTCTGACTAGTCCATTTCTGTACTGAACACTCCTTTATTTTGCATTGCTACATCACCTAAGTGTAAGATATTTAAATGTTGTAGTTATAAACAGGTTTTTCTTTTTTTAAAATTTGAAATGAGCAGTATGGTATTCAGGGTGGTCTTGAACTCCTGGGCATAAACAGGTTTTCCTTTTTTTAAAATTTGAAATGAGCAGTATGTTTTTCAGGGTGGTCTTGAACTCCTGGGCTCAAGAGAACCTTTGACCTCAGCCTCCTGAGTAGCTAGCTGGGATTACAGGCATGTGCCACCATGCTTAGCTCCTGAACAGTTTTATAATGACATTTCATTATTGTTTCTTATATATTTCCTTACTCATTACAGTATGGGCTCCCTCAAAGGAAGATACTCTTTTCTTTTTGTTTTTAGTAAACTTTCAGTAAATAGATACTAAATGAGCCTATGGCAGGACAATGCCCAAACCACCTTACATAGCCAATATTGTTAAATTTCTGAGAAAACAGTGTCTATTGAATTTGCGGAGGTCACTTATTTTATTATTTAATAGTCAAAATTTTCTTGCCTTTTAAAAGTCTATTTCTTGTAATTTGGTACATTTTGAACATTAAAAAAAAAAGATGCTGCCACATTCCCCCTTTAAATAAATAATCAAGTTACTCTATACAGAGTGGAGAACTAGAATGTGGTGGTGATATTTCATAGCTTTGGGAGAGTGCCCTTAAATATAACCCTGTGGATAAGTAATTTATTGGTAAGCAACTTTGTTTCTCAAAGATGATTGGGGCCATAGTAGATCATCACTTTGTTGAGTTTAGAGTTCATCTGTGTAGAGTATTAGATTCTCTTTAGAGAATCTAATTGTATAATCTAGTTGTGTAACTAATAAAGAAGTTATACAACCCAAACCAGATTGATCTATTGATAATGGAAGAGTAATGAAAGTGTACAGTAGGCCTCAGGTAAATATCTAACAAATTTTAATCATACGATATTTTATTATTATTTTTTTTGAGATGGAGTTTTGCTCTTCACCCAGGTTACAGTGCAGTGGCACAATCTCAGCTTACTGCAACCTCCTCCTCCTGGGTTCAAAAGATTCTCCTGCCTTAGCCTCTGGAGTAGCTGGGATTGTAGGCGCATGCCACCATGCCCAGCTAATTTTTGTATTTTTAGTGGAGATGGGGTTTCACCATGTTGGCCAGGCTGGTCTCAAACTCTTGACCTCAGGTGATCCACCCACCTCAGCCTCCCAAAGTGCTGGGATAACAGGCGTGAGCCCCTGTGCCTAAGATCAGATGTCATTTTTGAGAGTAGTGAAATTTGCTCTCCACAGTTATGCATTGTAATCTCTTAGTTCCTTGTATTGAACTAATCATGCAGTTTTAGTGGTCTTTCTTTTCAGAAAGATGTCTCTTAACATATTAAGTTTTATCTTAAAATATTTGTATTGTTGATTTAGTTTTTCCTCAACTTTTATAATTTGAGTTTTGTTATCAGTTGTGTTAAATTTTATTCTGATTGCTCTAGGACTATTTTTTTCAAATTCATGTAGATCAAAGTTGTTTCAGGTCTTTTTTTTTTCCTTCAGTGTTAACTTTGTCTATATGCTCATTTCAGGTCAGACGTTTGATGAACATTTTTACGTGTTTCAAGTTTTAGTCTTACCATTCATAGTATTAAAAATAAAATCAACTTAATATTATTTACGTAGATGAACATCTATTTGATTTCTTGATCTAAATAGAAAGTAAAATTATTGAATAGAGTGGACACTGAGATTGACTCCATGTAGAGATATTTGATAAAAGTGAGGTCTTACTTTAAGTCTATGACCATCACTAAACTAATGCTGTCTTGAAACATAAAAGGGTATGTAGCAAAGCTTCCTCTATGATATGCCAGGGCAGTTTGCTGGGAGTATGATCCAGTTCATTGGTTCTGGATGCTAACATTTGGAAATGATTTTTTGGTGGAACATCTGTGACCTTGGAACTATGAATTATCTTAAAACTTCTTTTCAAGAGAAGGAGCATATGAGAAGGAGGGTAAACAAAATATTTTGTTTATAATTTGCTATAACAAGGATTTAATACAGTTTAATATTAAACAGCTCTGGAGGCCTAAAATTTATCTCACTTGGTTTTCACTGGTGTTTCTCTCTGACACATGGTGTGAATCAACTGTTCTTCCAACTTGAAAGAGCAGAGAGTTCACTGACGCAACTCCCTTGTTCTGGGAATTGTTTCCATTGTGCCTTCAAAAGGTAGGGACATGAAAAGCTTTGGCTCATGGCAAATTCTCTCCAAGTTGGACACAGTAGGGGGGGCTGAATATTGGCTTAAGGAAGTGAGGTTGATGACTTTTTGTATTTCCTGGACTTTTTTTCTAAAGAATCAATATGAACTTTTTCAAGTCTCTATTTCACTTTTATATGATTAACAGTCTTCCCGTTAAAATCGGAAACCAGCAAATCTTCATTTAAATGTTGGTGCATGCCAGGGGGCTTTTTTCTTTGATTCCTGGGTTTCTGGGTTTCTGCGCTTCTCCACAGTAAAGTTTTTCTTTTGTGAAAATCTTCCTGTACCTACTCAACAAAGGGAAACACGGAAATGGAAAGTTGAAATGGCGGTCATTGTCCCAAAAGGTCTCAAAAGACTGGAAAAATGAACCATAGTTAATAGTAGTAAATTGTAGTTTCAGGCTATCAACTGCATGCATATAGCAATATGGAAAAACACATGGAAAAATTTTATGACTCTGAGTTCAATATATAGCACGATATGACTGTCAAAACTGCACAAGCATTAATATTAGGCTGTTTGTAGGAGCTAAGTAACAAGGTTAAAGGAGATGGACTTTATTTTTCTAGTTTGATTATCCTTGATTTAAAAATTGCTAATATTTATACAATGGTTTTTGTGTGTCAGGTACTGTTCAGAATTCCTACATTATCTCATTTAATCTTCACACAGTGATTATGTGAAGTGGTTCCTATGATTATCTGCATTTTGCTGATGTGGAAACTGAAGTGTACAGAGGTTTAATAAATTTGTCCAAGATCACACAAATACTAAGTAGCAGAACCAAGGCTTGAATCCTGGCTATGAAGCTTGTGTTCTTGCCCACTGTGTTATACTGCCTTTGTTGTTACACTTAAAGAAGAGTGACTGCTGGAACATACCCAGAGGGTAAAAACCATAACTGGAAGGCTGTTTATATGTAGAATAGTTGAATAATTTGAGATTGTTTAGTCTGGAGAAGGAAAAGAAGGGATCAAGGGCTTGTTCTTTGTGTCCTTTGAGGGAAAAAAATAAGTTAATGGTAAAAATTATAAAAAGGTAAGTTTTAGTTTTGTGTAAGAACTTTGCAACTGCTGTTGAAATGGAATTTGTTGCCTTGTAGGGAACTTCTTTTTACTAGAGATATTCTAGCAGAACCTGGACTAGTATTTATGGACATAGCTGGAAAATTTATTATGTTTATGAAATTGGACTGGATCATCTCTGAGGTTCCTTTTTTCCCTGTACACTTCATTGTTAAAGAGAGGTTATTAAAATGGGCTAGTCTATACTGTCCTCAAACAAATGCTTCTAGAAAAAAACACACAAAATTGTGAAACCTATGGTGTGAGAGGAGGGACCAAATTCATTTTTGTATAAAGATAAATTTTTTTTGTAAATAACTTTATGGTGTTCGTAGGGGTTTTTTTTGCATATCTTGTTTGTGGACTAGGAAGCGAAAGAAAGTGGCTTACTTTTCCAGTTGACAAATAAGTTACATAGTAATAGATCAGAGGTTCCATCATAATAACCATTGAAGCTACTGTCTTCTTTCCCCTTCACATTTGAGGGATAATAAGAGAACATTAACTGATGGGTTCTGTAGTTGCAGTGGAAGGGATCTAGGAATCTGTTTCATCAATTCTCAAAAAAAAATTTTAAGATATCAAATGTATGTATTCCTTTTTTTTGAGACAGAGTCTCACTTACTCTGTGACCCAGGCTGGAGTGCAGTGGTGCAAACATGGCTCACTGCAGCCTTGACCTGCAAGGTTCAAGTGATCGTCCCTCCTCAGCCTTCTGAACAGCTGGAACCACAGGCACACACCACCATGCTCAGCTAATTCTTACACTTTTTGTAGATTGGGGTCTTGCCCGGGCTGGTCACGAACTCCTTGGCTCAAGCAGTCTTCCTGCTTCGGCCTCCCAAAGTGCTGGGATTACAAGCAAGAGCCACTGTGCCTGGCCCATATATATGTTTTAAAACAATTTTGATATCCCGATTGATTCCTAGAGGAAGTTAGAATATGGAAAAGAAACTGAATTTAAAAAATTCTGACCAGTGGTGATTGCTTCCTGGGTTTGTGAGAGATCGATCCTAGGAAGAAGTTTTCATTTCATTTGTCAATCTGAAAAAGGAACTCAGAGAGATAGACTGTCTAGAACAAAAGATTTTATTTGTTACTAGCAAAGGTTTGCAATGTAGGGTGTACATGCTTTGAAAATCATAGGCTCACGTGAGGAAAACTGGGACAAACTGGAAGTTTTTAAAGACAGAGAAGTTCACACAAACTGCTTTGAAACAAAGCATGTTCGTCTCAGGGACTCATTGTGGGAGTTGGCACTAATTCATTTGAGGAGATAGTTGTTGCTAGGCAACTGTCCACGTCTGAGTGTCTTATCTGAAATACTGTAGGCCAGAGGAAATTCTTGTGATAATCTCTGTTTGCTCTGTGTACAAGGTGCTAACAAGATGTGCAGGTACGTGCTCTGTGTACTGGCAATGTGAGAAAGCTTGCTTCATGTGCAAAATGATGATGATAATAATAACTATTCCCTGAGGATTATTTTTGGGGAATAAGTGAGTTAGTAAATATAAAATGATTAAAAGGATTTGGCACATATTTTTAAAATGCTTATTTTTACTACTGTTTTATAATTTTGGGCTGAATTTAACCTTTAATGATCTGAATGATAGTGTGGTAATAAAATTGCCTAGATTAAATTACTGGGTGGTCAAATCATTAATCCCTGTGTGTGCTTTTCATATGAGTTGGTACTGTAAGTAACTTTTTTTCTGCTGATATTCTTGAGCCATCACTCCAAACTCAGACATATATCACAACTTTTTTTGGAACCATGATTAAGTATAAATTGACTTAGCTATCCCACATGTTGTATGGCTGGATTTCCCTACAGACACCTATGACAATCATTTAATAGAATGCTTAATCCAGGCCAAAATAAAGTAATGAAAAATTATGAAATACTAGGACATTTAGTGTTGTCCTTTGTTCAGCTCCCTATGGCTATACATTACAGTGTCTAGGTTTGGCATGGGACTGATGTTTATCATTATGATACAGAGTTCTTGGCTACTTTTATGTTCTTGCAAATTTAAATCTTTAACAGACTCCACCTCACCCTCCCAGTTAAAAACATCTCCCTTTAAAAAAGACTTTACCAACAGATTTTTTCTCTCCTTTGAGAGTTAACTTTGTAATTTGGAGCATGTAACCATGATGTTTGAGAGCTGTCTAACTGTTTCCATTGTTGCAGCCTGATTGTCCATGGTTTAATCATCAGTAGTTAAGGAGTAAAGCAAAAAATGGCTCCAGGCTGCTCAGTACCATAAAAAATTTCCACCTGGAAGCAATTTTTTCCAAAAACCCATAGGGACTGCTGTCACCCTCCCCCTTCTATTGGCAGCAAGGGCCAGAAACACCAGTTCTCTTCAGAGCCAGGTCTTGTTGCAGTTTAATCATCTTCCTTCTCCTAGCTTCCAGAGAAGGTTAGAGGAGAGCTAGGGAAATAACAAATTATTGCCAGACACTCCTCTCCTCCTACAATGGATTTCCTTTAGCCATCTAAATTTCTCCTTTTCTTCCTCTGTTTCTTTCTTTTTCTATATAACATTTAGCTGAAGTGCAAATTATTTGCATTGCTAGAACTTGAATTTACTTTTGGCTAAGAATATTTATTATTTAACTCTAGTGCTTGTCTTTGGAGAAAGTTGAAATGTTGAAACATTTTTGGGCACTGCTTTAGGCTCTTTGTCGCTTTATAATGCTTTCTCTGTGGGATACAGCCATTGTTCCAGGTGTAAACTCTCAAGAAACTCATGGTCTTATAGGGGAGATAGACATGTAAATAAATCATTACTGTACAGAGTGTTCACCATAGTACCCTTTCAAAAATATGAACAAATAAACATTTTAAAGCAAAAGGACATTAACTATGCTTTCCATCAGCAAATATCATTAGTGGTGCTGCCTATTCATTTCTAGGCTCATTATCGTAAATGTAACTTCTGGCTAATACTAGGCATTTGTTCAAGAACTTTGAGGCAAAACAAGATGACGGTACTCCTGGTGAAATTTACCTCAAACCACATGTGGCTTCATAGGTTCAAGGCCAGTTCAAATTTATACAGTGTCAAAGCAAGAGCCAGTTGGTGAATGATTATACCATGACTGCTAAGGAGTAACTCTTTCCTATATCCTTATCGTACATTCCTTGTCAAGGATAGGGCTAGGTGCTTCAATAGATTTTGTTTTATCATTAAAAAAAATAGATTTCTTTTCTCTTTTTATTGTTATTTTTTCTTTCTTTTTTTTTTTAAGGCGGAGTCTTACTCTGTCACCAG